GTGTGTGTGTGTGCATTAGTGTGTTTACACTGCTCGAGGCAGTTAGAAATTTATTTTGCGGCTGAATTAAAAAAATATATATGCAAATATATACGTTGCAAACACAGTCAAAGTTAATTAGAAATTACTCCAAGATGGTTGACTCGTATTTATCTGTGTGAATTACACATATTAAATTTATATTAAGGTGGCGCATACGATTGCGGCTTTTCTATCAAATTTTCTTTGTAAGTAACTTGAAATTAGTGTATTTTAAATGCAATTTTAAACTTCGAATTCATTTTTGAAGAACATATTTTTAACAAAGAAACGAGTGTAAAAATGTTTTAACTTTTACGTGCGTAAAATAAAAACATTTTTATATTCAACTAACGACAGTTGAATATAAAAAGTTAGCATTAGACTATTTTGCTGTTATCATTGGATTTATTATATTTTTTTTTATGAATCAAATAGAAAGGACTTTTTTCTTTTATATTAATATATTTTTTTCCATTTATTAAGTTATTTAATAGCTAAATTGTAAGTTATTTTTAATACTAATTCTGAATTAATGCATAAAGTAATATTTATTCTACCATTGCAGGTCACTTACATACACAAGTAATAAAACAATTTGATATGAACTAGAATTATAATAAACGCGAGTTTGAGTTATTTTATAATAATTCAACTATAATTCTTGACGATTATACTCATATAATGTGTGAAAAAAGTTAATTGCTACTAGTAAATATAAAAAAACCTTACTACCATAAATCGTATTAAACGCCATTTGACTCTAAGCGTATTACGAGTTTGAATATCAAATAAAAACTAAGTTCTACCATGAAAAAAGTAATTATTTGAAATAATTAAATGTTTTAATTGTCCCCCAATCAATGGCCGATTTTAAAGAAGGACGAATTATCGTTCCTAATACCTTTCAAGTTTTACGGTTTACCCTTTATCAAAAAATAATGGATATTTAAAGTTCAACGAAAAAATGAACCTAAATTTTATGTGTAAAATCAATTTTCGCCAATAAAATAATTAACTAAATCGGAAATTTAATGAGTGACAACTTCACGAGAAGAGTTTAAGAGGATTATGAACCTGAAAACAATCCAATGTTAACAAACTACACACTAATTAAAATGGCAATAATTATCTACGTTTTATATCTTCGCTTCTAATCTTCAGTTATAAAAAATCAAACAATAAAATAACAGCTATTGTTCCCGTAACTAGTCATTTACATGTGTTTGGCGATGATGTTGTTGTTAACTGATGTCTAGTTATAGTAAACTGTCTATTTTACGTGTGTGCGACTGAGCCATAAAAACGGCACTTGCTCGAATTGTAATAATAACAATAATAATAATGTACAACATAGTGCACGAAGTGTTGAAAAATTTTTGTTGGGTAGTTTTTTTTTTTTCATTTCTCCTTGTCACCCCTTCGTGGTTCACAGTGGCCTATTACAGAGTTTCAGTGCCGAGTCCGTTTCGTGTGTGAGCGGAATTTGATGATTGCCGCGCTTGGAGCCGTTACGGTCGGAGAGGAGAAGATGCGCCGGATTAATTGGAGGGCCACCGAAATGGGCCGCTAGGGAGCCATTGGTCGCAGTCTATGAATCCGGAAACACAGCAACGAGCTCATCGCAACAGACATTCAGCAGCCCACGAGGAAGGGTCGGGACAGGGGAAATCGTTGGAGTTTATATATATATATTCATATCCCTTCCACCAACAGTGCCGATTTATTCACAGTTAATTCGCTGTTAACGCCATAACACCAGCAACAATGACGACGTGCCGAATCCAAATGTTGAAAAACCCATTTACACATTCTGTTCTCTCAAGTTATTGTTTGATTCGAATAATTTTAATGATATTCATTTCAACGTTTTATGGAAAAAAACGTTTTTTTTAAATATACACAATAAGTAGTTTGAAAAAAATAATTTATTGAATAAAATAATGGATAGATCAACACACAATTTATACTTTTGTAATTAGCTAAAAATATTATTAAGAATAGTTGAACTCTAAAAGCTTTTTACGACTCGTGGTAAAATTAATATAAATTTAAATGACTTAATGTATTTTAATTTTACTAAAAGAAATAAAATCAAGACTATTTAAAAATTTCTAATTGCTTCTCCGTGTATGTATTTTAAATAGAAACTTTAAAATGCTATAATAATGAAGTGAGCGTCGGGTAATCAATCTCGGCGGTCTTTGGTAATTACATTTTTATAAACCATTAATATATAATTATCTACTACTCAGTTTAAAAGCCCACAGTAGCTACTATAAAAACTAAGAAAAATTTATTTTAAATTGTCGTTTTATGACATCGAAGAGAATTAAATATTCGATTTCGACTATCGACCGACTTCTAAGACTAAATCGCCGATTTTATTGCGTTGCTTGATTATTCGAATCTGATAACACTTAGCGGGCCTTGTGCGTATCTACTATTATTTATTTCAATTTATTAGTCAATATCTAAGGAGCCTAAACTGTGGGGAACAAACAAACAAACAGTACAAAACATTTTTACCGCATAATTCCGTTTTAATATCCTAGACTTTGTAATACTATTGCTTTTATACGGAAAAGGCATCATAATGATTTTAAATTTGAATGACTATTTCAAAGAGGTGTTCATAAGTACTTTTAAATGTACGATAAAAAAATAATATTATGCACAAATTTCTAATTTAATTACGTACAAATGAAGATGTAATTATCCAATAAAAATTGATTTCGTTAAGAGGAAAAAAAATTACCGTGTCTGTATTTGATACGCTTGAATGTACTACCTTATAAAAAATATTTTCAAGAACACATGCGTTTGTGTACACTGACAAAATTAAAAAAAATATTCACTTAGTAGGACGATTGACGTGTTATTGAAAAATAGCTCTCATAAATATACTACAAATTAATCAAAAAAAGTGATATCAATTTATATTGTATAAATTGCTAGATTGAAATTTTCCAGGCATTCACAAACAATTGCACTATCGACATACTTAGAGATGTATTCAAACATTTTATGCCCTTGGCTAGTGATGTAGCTAAGAGGGGAGCTAAAGGGGCTACAATCCCTCCATTGACCAATTATAACTATTAACAGTATACGTGTCATTAGTGCTAGAAAGAGTTGCGATAAGTATAATAAAAATATCTTTACTCCCACCCTAAAGAAATCCTAACTATGCCACTACCCTACGTTTTGAACAACCCCCCCAATAATCAATATTTTCTCAGTAATATATTTTATGGTAAACTAATGCATTTTTTACTACTTTTAGGATCTAAAAGCATATAAAGTATATTGAATAGAAATTCAAGAAATATTTTTTTATTTTATAAATTAACACATTAATTAAATAAGATAAAATTATTTTTCAGAAACGCCCCCAACCAAATTCCATGCCCAGGATACATTGGGGGCCTGTACCTCATTTTAAATATGTCTCTAAACATACTAGTGATGATAACCGAAATTGTGTCAAAATTTTCCCTGTATTGAATTTGGTTAATGTATTTAACTGGCAAGAGTTTGGCTTGTGTAAGAGCCTATGAATATGGCGGACAAAGAAATGAGCCGCGTAGTTCAAACAAGTCGGTCTCTTTTGACGTATCGTCCAGAACCTTTTTCTTCGTGTCTTTTCCTCCGAATGATTTACGAGTGTTGCATAACATCGTCATCGCGCACGCACACGAGCCATTTTTTCGTTTTTTTTCTTTTACCCAACTATTGTCCTGCCGTTTAGTCCTAAAATACCGCGAAAAGGACTGAGGCGGTGTCGCTTTCTCTCCTCAGCAGGTCAGTGCGATCGTCAGGTAATGATATACCAGTGTATTAATCTACCAGACATCATAATATAATTGCTCTCAACACTTTAATAAAACTACAAATAAAGTGTTGGATCTCTTTTTTTGCACCATTGCTAAGGGAGACTCTTCACGACGGAAATACCTTTTATTTTTTTCACTATAGCTAAGTCCTAATAAAACCCACAATATCTATTTTGACTTTTGTTAAATGAAAATTAACCCAGACTACCAGTCGTACAACAAAGGGGTCAATCAAGTTTTAGTAATAGTGTTGTATTGTGTAAAAGAGTTATTCAAACTAAATATGTCAATTCTATTGTCAAATGTGGATATTGAAATGTTTGTATCAAACAATTAATTTATTAATATACCGGATTGAATCACCACTAATATTAAAAAAAACTCATTAAGGACAAATGTACTGAAATTTAACAAAAAAAATGACTATACATTTTAGAATCTATTTTTATAAATGTTTCAGCAACGACTTAATTCAGAGGCAGCAAATATTTTTAATTTATTTGTGTGCTTAATGAAAAATACAAAAGTTTTAATAGAATTTTAATATTGTAAAAAAAACAAATTAATAAATTTTATTATATTTTAAATAAATATAACGATTCTGATGAACCTCATGTATAAAAATCACCCAACAATACATCTATTCATTAAATTTTAAGTTTCCAAACTTATCTATTTAATAAAATGTATAGTTTCTAGTTATTAGTATTGTAATTAAATTAAAGTGTGAAAATTGCGAGTTTTTCCAATTTATATATTTTTATATAGCTAAATCGGTTTAATTCAAAATAATGGAGAAGCAAATAATATAATGTTGACAACGTATACGGCAATATTCAAGTAATTGAAGTGTTCTGTGTAAAAACAAGATAACTGCGTTTTTATTTTCAAAATCACTTTTCAAAGGTTCTAAATTAAGATTAAAACGACAAATATATCTAAGAAAAAAATAATAGCAATAAATAATAAGAAAGACATCGTGTTTTTTAAATTTACTGGTATGTAAGGATTCATGATAAAATTGTCTAGTTTTTTCAGCTCCCTAAAAAAGTGTTGAAAAATGAAGTTATCTTATTTTTGCATAGAGCCTTTCAATTATAATCACTAAAATTTGACCTTATTTCTATAATAATTTATGACTGTTACCTGGTTGAGGACGGTCTTGATATTCTATTCTTTTCATCCACCCATATGGACTAACACGTCCAGTGGGACCTGGAGGAGAAGGTTGATGTTGTATTGGTGGCCAATACTTGTAATCATTTGCTGGTTGGTAAGCGGTTGTCGGTTCGTCCAAAGATGTACCAGGAGATGAACACGTAGCTGTTGTAGCTGGTTGGTTATACGGTGCCACGGGAGTCGTAACCACAGTCTGTTGATGATGAGACTGATGGTGATGATGATGGTAAACGACATCTTCGTAAGACGGTCGTCGCCTATTATAGACCGGCCATGCATAACTATCTACCGGTTGATGATGGTGAAGTGTTGCGTTTACAACGGCATCTTGACTGTGTTGATGTTGATGATGGTGATGCAACTGAACGGGTTGTTGTTGCGGTTGTTGCTGAAGGTGATGGTGACTATGGTGGTGATGATGATGATAACCAGCCACAGCAGCGGTCGCGGTAGCCGACTGGCCGTAAGGTGTCCAAGTAGCTCCGGACACAGTTACAACGGGCTGTTGGGCTTCGGTGCCATCTTCGGCGGGCGTACATTGCGGCACACTACTGTAATGGTATACCGGAGCCTGTAGCTGTCTGCAGATAGTCACAGATTCGTTCATTTCGACTGTGTGTGGCTGATCATACCATTGAAGTAGTTAAAAATATACAAATTGACACTGAATGATTTTTTTACTACACGGGACGCACAAAAAATTGTCTCGCTCAAAATTCGAAAAAGTACAAACAATCTTAGTGATGTTATTAAACTTTGTTCGAACAAACGCAACTTCTCTTCATTTATATTAAAAAATCATAATCGAACTCAACAAATAGACGACACAACTTTGAACCGCAGCAATTAACAAATAAATTCAATTAAGAACGTATTACGTTAAGCGTGATGATCGATAAGAAGGACTGATGCGAACGTCGTGAGCACGTTACGTGCCAAGATATCTTTTAGGTTGTGTGGGATTCGTGCCTCTAAACTGGGACCGACAAAACAGGCGGATTAGAGCCCCTCCCGTCGAACGGCTCCTCGGCCAATTGCAGCTCGGGTCTGTTGTGGGTAGTGGTCGGAACGTTGGTGGCCACTCCACATCGAGGCGGCGGCTGCCGTCTTTATTGTCCTACTATTATTACTATTAGTAATATTATTTTGCGGCCGCCGCGGTAAACGACGATCACACTTCGTGTTTATACCTCCCAGTCCCTTTTCATCAAAAATACTGCCGCCGCTGTTTAACCCATTCGACGTGCAGGTAACGCACAAACGGATATATTTTTTTCCACAATTTCCCCATACGCTAACAGCAATATACCTGCGTAATATTTTTTACAAGCCGTGAAGTACACTTTACCATTTTAATTGCATAATTTTCTATGAATTCAGACGCAAATTAATTACTTGCACGTTAACATTAAATAAAATAGTCATCTCGCATACGCTAATATCGTATAATTGTGCCGTTTTCGATTATGGAACTTCGTGACTAGAGGTGAATTTTTATAGTACTTTTTTTAACGAATCACGAATGCGGTGGTTCATATCCGAGTATAATATCAAAACGCATTCTACTTAACTCTGAAATTATTCGTTAGTTAGTATTATTAAAGTCTTAAACTAAAAGTAGAGAGTATTAAGTAATATACAAATAACCTCAGTTCACATATACTAACTTGGTCAAGTTTATAAATGTTTGAAAAAAATTCATGTATTCAACATTTATTGTTATTAATAATTTGATTTGATTTAAGATATATAAATTGAATACTAAAAAAAAAAAAAAATTGTTAATATATGTTATTAGTTTGTAATAAATAGAGCTAGTGGTATTTTTGCAATAAATGCTTAATAGGATAATATAAATAGTACATAAGTTTTATTATTTTATGGTAATGACACATAACACCACTGATTAGGACTAGAATTTGTAGTATTTGCAACTTTTTTAGTAATATTTTAGTGCATAGCTCGTCCTGCACAAAATCTAATTTATATATTACAGTATACATTTATACATTTTTTAGTGTATTATTTAATTATTTTTATGAATAATACCTTTTTTGGATCATTTTAAAAGTATTTTTGTTCAGTTTTTGATACGTAGAACTTTGTATTTTTAATAATTTATTGGACATTTATGTACTTTTTTTGGTAATTAAATATATTTTTGACAAATTTTGATATGTACGCTAAGTACAGAATTTTAATAAAAACATTTTTATTTTTATTTATAAACGAATTGAAGAGCTTTGTAAAACAACTAAGCAAATTCAACATTTTCAGAAAATATATTTTTAGTAAAATTAAATAAATATGATTTACATAATTCATAACAAATATGATTTCTTTATTTTTTATTACTTGTGATTCAATACAGGAAAAACCTATTGCCATTGCTTTTGATGAAAAATGATCTCAATAATTATTCTTTTGTATAAAATCGGATGACAAAACAAAAAACACAATATTTATCACCAAAAATAGTTTTGTTTTTAAATTTTAAAAATGTTCTGGAACGTCTGACAAATTAAAACTTATATATAATTAAAAACCTTTAAAATGTACTTTATGATTAAAAAAAAATGATCTGTCGGTTAAATATTAATTGAAAAATTGATTAGGCTTTAAAAATATTTTTCTAGATTCATCACTCAAAAAGTTTCTTCTAAAAATTTCAAGGATATAATTTTATAACTTTGGCATACTTAATACGAGTATAAAATTTGCTATTAAAATAAATAATTAATGTAAATTTGACAATTGAAAAAAAAAATGTATAACTTAACATATCTATTTTGAGACAAATCACACGTGTACTTTAAAAATAATATACTAAAAATAGTGTTATATAAATGGATTTACGATTAAACAGTAAGAGATGTTTTTGCCTTGTGTGCAAATTTAATAATGAACAATAAATTGGGAAACTCTGAAAATTTTGTCATAAATTATTGTTTTATGGTTGGGGATTAGAGTCAAAAGATTCATACCCGGATTGTTATTATTAAAATATTGGTCTGAATTCTTTGAAAAAGTTTTATTGCTAAAGAAAAAATGTGTTATTTAAAATTCATAAAACAACATATTCAGTTCAGTAACTAAAGGAAGGAATTTTTATTATTGTCATTGTTTGTAACGATTGACCTGTTTTCTTACTTTTTTAACACCCTGTATAATAAGTTTATGTAAAAACCTCAAGAAAATGTAATACTTCTAAAATTGAAGAAAAATATTTTATGTAACAATAAAAATTAATTTTAAAATATAAAATCTAACAAACATTTATTAGTAAGTTTTGCTAAAAAAGAAAACTTCTATTAATTAAATTTTTTGATTTGGATAAATTTTTTACATCTATGTATCAAACTATTTTTAAGACAAATGAAAATAAGTACTTTGACCCGTATTTAGCAATGTTATTTTGGATTAAATAAATAGAGAACACATTTATATGAATTCTTAATAATCATAAATAAACTCATTATTGTAAATTGAAATTTTTTTAACCATTTAACGCACTAAACAAATAATAAAGGATAAATTAACCATAATGTTAAATAATAATTTAGAGCGTTTTATATTTATTTTTCTGATGATAATTTTGTTATTTTACGTGTACTTTAATTTACTTTAGGTACTATGCTTTGTATGTATATTGTTGAAACGACCAATAGGAAACTAGATATTAAATATTTAGTTAAATACTTTAGCAAATTGATAGTTATTTCCTTTATCTCTTACAAGGTTGAGTATTGATTGAAATATATAAACTTTTGCTCAAGTGTAAAATTCATGAATTTACATTATTATCAGCGCACTATCTAAGTCATATAAATGTATTTTATTTATGAAAATACATAACAGTCGATCACTCAATCAATCAATTATTTCAAATAGTGGGTGTTTCATAAAAATTATTTATTAATTAGTAATCATTATTGTGCTGTAATGTATTATTTTTAAATATTTAACTGCGAAGAATTAAATTTATTTGATAACATATAAAATATAGAAAAATATAAAATAAATATATACAACTATACATGTATTTATATTTACATTATTTAGTATAGTATATTGTACGAATAAAATAGTCCGTTTAAAAAAATTTAGATTGTCTATTTAGGCGTAAATTATTGACTAAGATGTTTGGGAGGTCTAACTTAATATTTTACTATATGAAAATATTTTCACATGAAGTTGCATGTAATTTTTATAATTTTTTTTTTCTGGGCGAGGAAGGCTATGGCATATTTTAAGGAGTTTAAGCCTCTTCAGATTGCGCGTATATCAAAACAGTAATTTAAAAAAATGATGGACGAAGTGGTCGAGTTGGTGTCGTGACAATATTTCATACGCACTGCGCTTTAGATTCGAAACTTAATCATGGCGACTTTATTTATCAAGTGACAGATCAGTTCAGAAATTGGAGTCACTCACGTCTCTCCAACAATGTATTAACCACCCGCGCTGGTGTATCAATGGTTAAAAAAATCTTCTCTTTAGGAAGGTCGCTATGGCCATTAATAGGCCTAAAAAGATAAAAAAATTTTTTAAATAATTGATATTTGTAACCTCGAGAAAATTATCAATTTTTTCTCCTCTTAATAAAATTAACAAATTTTTTATCGATTTACGTTTAATAATATTTTTGTTAGATAAATAATATTAGTTTTATTAATTGAACCCACTTTTCTGTTGATTTAATGAAATATTTGTTATTTTGATCATTTTTTTTTTTTAATAAAAATAGTGCTTAAATTAACAAAAAAATATGATTTACTTAACAAAAAGTTTATTAGACATGTTTTGATAATGCATTTATTAAATCCTCCCAATAATATTAGTGAACACAAAATTTGTGTTTATGTTTAATATTTAATATTAAACATAAACATCTTAAAAATAAATAATATATGCTCAAATAAACACCCTTTAATAGTATTAAAAAATATTTCCTATAGTAACAAAATAAAATTGCTAGACATCAATCTATATACAATTTTGAAAAAATGTCTACTCCCAAAATTACAATCACATTTGTAAAAACAACAATGGAAAATTTACTACTTGAATGTTTAAAAAAAAACTAATTATTTAGAATAAAATAATAACAAATCGTTTCTAAGGATAATTTTAAAACTATTTTTCTCCAAAGATCTGTATATAAGCTGTATAAATGTACGAGCCAATAAAAAAAGTTAAGTTAAAGTTAATTGTCACATGCAGTGACAATATTCGAAATATATCTAAATTTTAGAATACATTCTAATATTTTGAATGCTTATAAAACTATTCGTTTTCGGATCGAAGTAATCTATCGATAATCTAAGACAATAATTATGAGTACTCATCAATAAGTCTATGAACTTCTTCGTGACCGAATTAAGACATGAAGAGTATAGGTAGAAGAACGCCATTAATAAATACCTCTGTTCAAATAATAAAATTACGAGTATAAAATAAAATGTCATCATTTGCTTATGTTCCGTTAATTTAGTTCTTAAAATTTGTTTTAGATTACTTACCCATAAGTTCCAGAGCTTCTGCCTTCTTAATTATTGACCTCAATTATCAAGAGTTCGAGATCTAGTCCGATAATTTATAATAGTAATGTACATGTGGTTAGAGGACCTTCAATCAATGGAGAATTTTTTTAAATATTTTTTTTTTAGGAAGATACCAATTAAATATATTAAAACCAAAAGTGTTTTTATCTTTAAAAAACGTTTACACTTCATTTTAAATGAAACCTAGCATTTCAACTTAATTATTTTACTGGAACCACACCTATATGTGGTTACATTTGATTACATAGTGCCTGAGACATGTCGGTACATACAATTTTTATATTTGTTCCTTTGAATAAAAATAAAATGAAATGTTAAGAAATCATTTTTGAACTTGTATTTTTAAGATCAATAAATGTTATTGACCTCGAGCTCAACCATTATTATGGAAGTTGCGGCTCTGTTTGACGGTGTATCAAAAGATTATATCTTTACCTGAATTAATGTGAATAGTAAATACTTTCGAATAAAAATTATGAGTTACTACGTCTTTAACCTTGATACCTATTTTATGTTATATTTTATTATTAAGATGTGATTTTTAAAGAGAATGTTACATTCATTTAGTTTATATATCAATCTAGATATAGATATACAATTAAATATCTTTTATTTTTTTATAAATTGTAACTATTTACACTTTTGCGTAGTTTAACGCAATCCTTTGAATCATATCTAACCTAATTCTTTTGGCAGTAATAAATATTCCAATTTCAATGATAACGCCCAAAATAATTAAAAACAGGTGTGGCTCTAGAATATTTTCAATGAGGAGTACTAAAATAAATTTTAAAGCCATTATTTATTATTTCCTTACAAAGCATTTTGTGGGTCGATGATAATTTTAGGATAAGTACTAATCTATTTATAAGTATTTTAATACAGTAGACTCTCGTTATGTTCAATTCCAAGGCGAACAAAAAGAATTTCGATCAATCAACAAATAAAAAAATTCAAAATTGAGTTTTAATAAAAATAAAAAAGGATTTATAAAATCGCCATCAAATATATACATAATGTTAAATTAATTATTTTTTAAATAATCTGACATTACAGTTTGTTTTTTCTTGCTTTTATCTTTAATAATGTTTTCTAATATTGATAAAGAAGAAAAAGCGCTTCTTTCCATACCTATAGTACTTTCTAAAAAAAGCTACTCACTTAATGATGAAGTCATCCAAACCTTTTTATTTGACTCATAGTCAACTGGTATAGATTTAATTCATATAAATCACCTATGTTTCATCGTTTTACCCCAATAATAAATGATTTAATGATTTTTTCTGTTTCAGACATATTTGCTCCTAACGTCATTGTTATCCGTATTTTCAACCTGAACATTATTTGTCTTTAACACGTTAAAGTTTTATGTGGTATATAATTAAAAATAAGTCTGTTACGTTCACGTTTAAAATATCATTAGAAGAAAAATCTGCTAAAATTTCTGGAAAGTTTCAATTCAATTTAAGCATTTATTTGTGTCACTATTATGAAACATTAAAATTTTATAATTTTATATCACAATTGAGGATAATGTATACGGTGAAATGTTAAACTCTTTAGCGATTTCACATTTTTTACGTTTATCCTTTTCATCTAAATGTATTAAACGAACTTTTTCTGAAATAATAAGAGCATTTAATTTACGTTTATTATTTACCATTTCGATGTTATACGTACTCGAACAATCACTTTACTGATTATACCCAATGTAAAATTTCCTATTATTCTCGTGATAAAAATGTTATTTGTGTTAATCGACATAACGAAATAACTATTAATTTTATCATAAGTTATCGAGAGAAAAACATTATTGTGTGCAATGGTAGTTGTAAGGCGATTTCATTGCAGTCTTGATGCCGGAAAAATTAGAGATGGTTACGTTCGTAGAATGTACTGTTATAGTTAGTCTATATATTGGTGGTCAATGGTATAGTTTTGAGGGTGTGATGGGGTAGGTGTAAATACTCCCATGGCAATCTCCTAATTACGTCACTGGTGTGTGCGAATTATTTTAATTTTAGTCAATTATTTAATGATAATTTTTCTAACTAAAAATTACTAGTTCCCTAAAAAGAAATCTAGTAGTAGATTATTTCAACGGGTTTTGTAGAATTGGAAAACATAACCCCATCATTAATTTCTACTTTACAGTTTAAATTGTTATTTTATGTAATACATTATTTTTTATTCACAAAACAATTAAAATTACTTACGCAATTTAAACATAAAAATACTTCATCATTTGTACGGAAATCCCCAAATTTTTTTGCCATTCAAATCATTACACAAATAATTTTAAAAATAGTCTGGATATTTCTTTTAAAACAATTTAACTTTTTTACTATACAATAGAACTTGAAAGAAGCATTTTCTTGTTAATTCAAAATAGTATTACGTATTAAATGTCATATGCAATGTAATAATAATTTGATCCGTAGAAGTTCACACTAAAAACAGTATGTTTTGAATGAACGAAAAACGTTTGAACAGTTTAGTAATTCTTAATATAAAAGGTAACTCACTACAATTCACAATTTATGTCCGATTAACTGGTAATGTCATATTCAAAGAATTTAAATAAATGGTATTTGTTGTATATTTTCTCATTATTAAAATACATTTTTTCGTTAAATAATGTGTCTATAAATCATTTGTTAGACGTAATAGGCGCTATATTTTAAAATACGCCACTATTAATAGTTTAACATGAAACCCTTCAAAATGAATTCAGAGAGGGAATTAAAATGAATTAATAAATTATTTTTGACTCCTTGGTACTATGATCAGATAACATAGGATTAATGTGTCTGCAAGAATAGTTTGTAAATTGTTAATAACCTTTTGAGACAAAAAATAGTGATAATATAATTCTCAAATTGAAAATTGTTTTTCAGTCATGTAAAAATTTTCTTCAGTAAAAGAAAGTTTATTTTAAATATGGAAACGGTTAATCGAGTCTATACAAAATGGGAATAACTCGAATCGATCAATTTAGACTTTTCTAAACGAGTCAATAGTATTTGCATACCAGTTACTTTGGCACTCGAAAGCGACTAAAGCACGATCTATAAGTAAACAATGCAGAACACCATTTTGGTTATCTATTGAAATACATTTTATAAATCGTTACTAACTTCATTTAATTAATTGTTCAATATTTGTAATCTATATTGCAATTGTATGATAAAAATTAAGGTGTGTACTATTTTGTACTTGTATAGATCATTTTTTATTTTAATTTCTTCCTTAACAATAAAACTTCTTGGTCTGTATTTATCCTCAGTATTAAACTAATAATTAAACGTAAGTTTTTATATTACCTTGTGTATTATATTTTTAATTATTTAAACTACATTGTTTACTTATTAAGTCAGTTGATTATTCATTTAAACCTTGTAAAACAGGGCGTGTACATATATTTTAATCAATTCAATTTTATTTTTTCAGAATTAACATAATGGTGGACACTGGATGCTTCTTTAATATTGATGGAGGATACTTAGAAGGTTTATGCCGTGGTTTCAAATGTGGCATATTGAAACATGCTGATTATCTTAATCTTGAGCAATGCGAGACTTTGGATGATTTAAAATTGCACTTACAATCAACTGATTATGGTCAATTCTTAGCTAATGAACCCAGTCCATTGGCTGTATCTGTAATTGATGATAAATTACGAGAAAAACTTGTTATAGAATTTCAACATATGAGAAATCATGCTGTAGAACCCCTCAGTACATTTCTAGATTATATCACTTACAGTTATATGATTGATAATATTATACTTCTTATAACTGGTACTTTACATCAGCGTCCAATTACAGAACTTATTCCAAAATGTCATCCTTTGGGTAGCTTTGAACAAATGGAAGCTATTCATGTAGCTGGTAACCCAGCTGAACTTTATAATGCTGTTCTTGTAGATACTCCATTGGCTCCATTCTTTGTTGATTGTATAAGTGAACAGGATCTTGATGAAATGAATATTGAAATTATTCGTAATACATTGTACAAGGCTTACTTAGAATCTTTTTATGACTTTTGCAAGAAGTTAGGAGGAATAACTGCTGATACTATGTGTGAAATATTATCTTTTGAAGCAGATAGAAGAGCTATTAATATAACTATAAATTCTTTTGGTACAGAGTTAACAAAAGATGATCGAGCCAAATTATACCCGAGATGTGGTAAACTTAACCCAGATGGTCTAGCAGCTTTAGCTAGAGCTGATGATTATGATCAAGTAATTTAGAGCAATAAAAATGCCTATGGAATTAAATTAATGATATATTTTTTAGGTGAAAGCTGTTGCTGAATATTTTGCCGAATATAGTGCTTTGTTTGATGGAGCTGGTACTAATCCTGGAGAGAAAACTCTTGAAGATCGTTTCTTTGAGTATGAAGTTAAACTAAACGTCAATGCATTCATGCGTCAATTCCATTATGGTGTATTTTACTCATACTTGAAATTAAAAGAACAAGAATGTCGAAATGTTGTATGGATATCTGAATGCGTTTCTCAAAAACATCGTGCCCGTATGGACAATTATATTCCAATTTTCAAGTAAAATATTATAAATTGTCACAAATTTTTTCTTTTTACTACCATAAATTATATTTTTTATGGTAATATTAGATTTTTTGACTAGATAATTTAGAAAAAAAAAATCATTGTTTTCATCATTCCATTAATGTTAGTAAGGCAGAAGATTGTTAATAGCTTTTATTTTAATTATACTTGTTTTTGTTTTATTTCCTTGAATTTCAAAAAGTTTAATTTTATAAAACTCATTAAAACAAAATACATATATTATTTATTTAAATTCTTGTAATTTTGAATATTATTATGATAATATTAAATTATGAATTTATAAAACGATCAATTTTATTCAACAAATAAGGTATGTTTAAAATAATTGTACTTCAATTTATTTATTTATTATAATTTATAAAATACCATTTAATGAATAAGTTTTTACAATATTTAAGATTATTATGAAGATAATTGTGTATAGATTAATTTCACTTACAAAATAAATTCATTCATATATTAAACAAAAAAAAATATTCTTATAATCTTAAAATAAATTATGCCAGTTATATTAACTATACAGTCAAAAATAATTACAATTACATTCACTTTCAAAATATTAAACAGTACTTATGACAGTCTTCACAAAAAGAAACATACAAAACATAATGGTTTATTCACGAATAACTGTGTATAATCAATACACTTCTTTAACATAATTAAAGTAATTCCCAAAAGAAATACATTTTGGTGATAAAAACTACTCAAGTCAACACTAAAATTTAAATTAAAAATTGGTAGCTAGAAATTTTTTTTTTTTAAGTAGTGAAAAAATGTGCAATAAATATAAAAAGAAAAACAAGTTAGATTTTATATTAAATTGTGTTAACATTTAAAATGCATGTAAATAATTTATTGATATATTAAATAGGTGGGAAATGTTAATGAAATTATTTTTTAATAGATTATTATTATTAAAAATAAAACACAATTAATAATCACATACAATTTAGAAACATTAAATTAATATAATAAAAATAATTTTACTAGTATTTAAATTAATATTACATAACTAGTTTTGACTTCAAGACAGTTGCCATGAACCAGTAACTTGATAAAAGTCATCACTGTATAGTACAAATAAAACTAGTACTGTTATAAATAATTAAAATTAATTGTAGTTTAAAAACTCCAAACATGATTCTATATCTTCACTATCATCAACTAGTAATTTCAATCTATTTAATAAAAATGTTAAATCTCTTTAAATTACCGTTTCTAAATAGATTTCTTTAAAAACTTACTGGCTTTTGTAATTTTCAAGTTTATTCAAGTCTAAAGATTCCTTCATGTGCTTCAATGCTGTCATACACAATGCAGACAATGACTTGAAGCATTGTCGTCGTGCAGCATTATGTGGCGGGTTATCCCACACTGGAGTATTACGAACATGTTTCCAAGCCATAAACACATAATCCATTACAACGGACCATTGATTACTGTCAACTAAACGTCTTCCTTGATCAACTACACATTTCTAGAAATAAAAAAGATCAAACAATAAAATTAAATAATTTTTAAAGATTCATTTATAACAATATTAATATACTTTAAATGCTAGAACATGTGTAGAAACCCTATTGTATGCAGTAGAATCTGTTTTAGAAATCAATCGACTACTTGGCAATGCCTTATAAATATTACGACGCAAATAATAAATCCGCTCTTCTAAGGGTTTTAAATCAGCAATTGGAAAATGAGATCTTATTTCCTATTAATATATAAAAAACAACAAATATAAAATCAATGGCATTAAAAATTAAATTACACGAATTACTTTTTCGATCTCTGGGTGGTCAATCACAATTTGTCCAATAACGCCAATTAACTGATCTGGTGATAAAGCTTTTAGTGCTGATAATATACAATTATCTTCAGGCAGTTCAACAGCAAATTCAGTACGAAATTTTTTACAATTAGGTGAACTCTATAAAATAATAAGTAATAATCTAAAGAGCAAGTTACTTAAAGAAATTAAAAATATTATTTTTTATTGAAATATAAATTTCTAAAAATAATTGATCATTGTGGTAAAACTATAATAGCTATAGTTATAAATTATTTTTAGTAATACATTTTTAATAAATAAAAATTATGTAAAGTGTGTTACTTTTTAAATACATACAATTTTATACTTATCAGGTGAAGATAGCTCTAATGGATCATTAAGTAGTAATCTCTTCCGTGGTGTACTTCTAAGAACAATAGAACTCTTGTTCAAAATAGAAGAGCTTGATTTTGTAGGAGTTTCTTGATTATTCTGTTGATAATAATTAATAGCATTAATTTGTAAAAAATTTTCTAGTTAAAGTGAAAGTATGCATAAAACTACCTATAAAATGGAACTAAATAAGTAAAACTATACACAGATCTAACATAGATAAACCAAAAAATCACCTGATATTTTATAAATAAAAAAAGAGTTAAAAGACAAGATGAAATATAACATTATCGAGAATAACAAAAAAACTTCAAGAAATCAATGTAAGAAATATATAATGCATAACTTCTAGTTATTGTGATAAAATGTGAGGAAAATAAAAATAACAAACCCAGGCACAAAATGAAATGCAAAGAGTAATTAAGTCGAGTTAATAGAAGAAGCATATTAAGACACAAAAGTATTCTACAAAAATGCTAAGGAGATAAGGCATTCATATAAACCAAAAATAAAGAAAAACATAAACAATACCAATGCATGTAAGGTAAAAAGAAATTAGAAGTGATAGAAATACCTAAGAGTAATAAGGAGAGGAGACAAGTTATTGTAAATTTAATAACATTCTGTACACGAATTGAAATGAAAATCAAATTTAAAGGTAATAATTCAAAAGAATTTGATGTTACAAAAAGACAAACAAGGAGATGCCTTGTTGCTCAAGAAGAATTTATAAGAAAAGTTCAAGATAACAAAGAAAAATAATGAGATCAAATAAAGTAGACATAAAAAATACTATGAAAGAACTGATTACCAATGCACTAGAAATTTAATTAATGATAAATGAAGAAAAAACTAAATCTATGGTAGTTATGAGCTTATAAACTGGAATAAAATAGAGTTCTAAAGGTTGAGAATATTTGTTATGAATAGGTAGATTTAAAATAATTGGTAATGAAATAAATAGTTACAATAATTATTACAAAGAAATTAGACTGCAGATTAAAGCTAAGAATAAATTCTACTTTTTATCACAGAAATCTCTTGGATCCAAGTAGTTATCAAAAATATCAGAATTATAAAAGATATTAGTGAAGCCAATATTTTTATACACATGTAAAACTAGGTCAAAACCAAAGGGGGATGGAAAAAACTGGCAGTTCAAGAAAGAAAATTCCTTTAGTAAATTTTTGAATGATGAAAAATAATCTGGTTAGAATAGATTTAGAGATTTAATGACATAACGAAGAACACACTTAATTGGGAACCATAAGGCAAGAAGCCTTTGAGAGAAGAAGAATTTGTAAAAATATTAAAATTTATGTAATTACAATTACTATTAAGAATACTTTATATTAATATCTAATAGCAAAAATAGTTGATAAATTTTACTTGTTTAATAGAATCAATATCAGGGCTAAAAGTCACTGGTATTTTACGACGTCCACGTTGTTGTATTATAAGTTCATCAGGACTGGGAGATGGAGTCATCATTGAAGTAGGCATATTAGCAATTGTTGTATTCATAATATTGACATGGTGATCAGTTCGACCTAAATATACAAAGCAATAAAATTAGAAAAGAATTAAGAAATGACAGGGGTAGTGCCATTAAATAAGGGATTTTAAATAAAACATTTAAATTTGATTTAGAGCAATATTATATGTGTTCATATTGATAACACATTCCTGCTTATTTATATGATAGATGTGACTGAACATCTATAATGCACCCAATATAGGTAAATTAAGTATATAATCAAACCAAAAAATTACTTTAAACTTCATGGGTTTTCTTATCACACATTTTTATATTTTTAAAATAATAAAACAAAAATTATATTTACATTTTTAGAAAAAAAGCAACAAAATCTTTGGCACTTATACCTACCTACTCTAAGTATGTTATACAGGATGTTCAGTAAATAAGGAAACGAATTTCTATTGTACTCATTGTTTGTAACAATTTAACTGTTTCCTAACTTACTGAATACCCTGTAGATTATTAATTGGACGACAATTTTGATTAAAAATTATAAAACTNGATTATTAATTGGACGACAATTTTGATTAAAAATTATAAAACTTTTAAGATAACATAATTATCCTATAAGGGGTGGTAATGGGATATGGTTACTTCTGCTGTTATAATTGCTGAAAGATCTTTTCAAACTTTTATTTAAATGATTTATTCTTGTATAGAACTTTTGAAGTAAAGAAAATTTGAAAGAAATACATCTTTTTAGCCTTTTAATTAATT